TGATTCTAAGGTAAGAAATGCTTTGTTGTTACTCAAAACTACTCAAATATTTTAAGTGCCCTGGAAATACATTTCATGCACATAACTCCATGCTTTTACATTCTGTAGGAATAAGAAAGACGGTCTGCATTTCCTTCTCTGCTACTAGAGGATCACGCAAATGAACAAGCACGTTGTGAAGAGTTTGGGTTTGGTTTTAAATCAGTCTTCCAAAGTCTGTGTGGCTCCTGGTTCAAATGACAAATATCTTCTAGTTGCACTCAAAAAGGACTGAAATACAGCTGTTTATATAAAATTTACAAGATTCAAACTAAAAAAAACCCACCAAAACCAACCAAACAAAAAAAACCACACCACCTTTTAAAATCAGTAGTAGTATGCTACTGGGCAAATTAACATTGATCAGGTATTTTTGTGCTATTTTAAGCTTCAGTAAAATGATTTGTTAAGGTTACTTAAATACTCTCTCTTGCATTGTAAAGTTTTTCAGTTCTGATAATAGTAAAAAAATATTTGGCTTTTTATAAGATACACCTGTCTTATTTATTGTTCAGTCAATACTCGGCATGAGGCTCAAACACTTGTACACTGTAATTACAGTAGTTACAAGACCAAATAATACTATTGCAATTGTTTCATAACCCATTCCTAGAATTCAAAATGAGTATGAGAAAAATTCCAGGCACATTATCAACTAGATTTTATTTACTCACATATACCACATAAGATTTCACATGTTAAGGGTTCATATTTCATTGTAACAAGATGCAATGTTGAAGTAAAAAGAGTTTCTCAAAATAATTGTTATTGCTCTGTAAGCAGCACTAGGTTATTATTTACTATAAAATAAAAAGCCAATTTGATAAACAATGATAAAACATAGAAGTTGGTATATTAAAACATTTTACATTTTTACTAAAATTGAAAGTTTCAAGATGAAAAGAAAAAAATGCAGACAAAGTGTTAGGATTCCCAAAGGCATTATGAAGAGATATATACAGTGCGTTGCAAATCTGCATGTGTACAAAAGTTATCTACTGCTCTGAAGAGGCAGAAAAGTCACTGAATTTATAGATATACGCTATTGATTTCTTCCTATCTAATTAGGAGGTTCTACTAATTATTACCAGAACCACCTCAGATTTTCAACAATTCTTAAAAATTAACAGCCAGTTCAAGAAGCACTAGAGGATACTGGGGGAAGTACCATAATTTTGCCCTGATTGTATATTCTTCCATAGACATCAGCTTAAAGACACAGTAAACAACTAAATAGACACTGTAGATGGACTTTCCAATTGATCCAGGTCAGTTGTTCTTAGTTTAACTGTGCTTTGTATTAAATGAAAGAGAAGCATTTGAAAGCAAGCCATATGTCATATATACTACATACCTGTGGGTACTATAGCTTCAGATAAGCAGAAGTTCTTGCCACATACACAATTACTGGGTGGATAGCTTGTTCCCCAACTCTTAATTTATATACCAACATATAAAGAGAAAGGTTTGCTGCCAATAGAAACTCCAAAGCACTCCTCCTGTTCTGCCTAGGCTGAGCTAAATGAAAAGCACCATTACAGATCATACATGGCTTTTGCTTTATTAATTGAACAAAACTGTACAAATACCGAACGTGAGGGAAGAATACAAATTAGCAAAGGGAGGTTGGATGAGAAGCATAAAACCATATACAACTGACTTTCAAATTTGTTTCCTCTGCAGCCAGGCAATTAAAGTGAAAGAAAAGAAACCACTTCAATTGCCCAGAGGCAAGTACAGGCTCTACAGCAATGAAATGAAAAGAATGAGAAGCAATAATCCTATTTGTCACACATGCTCTGCCCGGAAAGAATTAAATGCACTTTCCTCATCTGGGGAAAACTGGGTATACCCAAAATGTCTCTTAGTCAAAATCTGCTTAGTCCAGCAGGACATATTTTCCCATGAAACTTCTTACCAAGAAGTTACTTTGGCAAGGCAGTCTGCTTTTCCAGGAAGTTTAGCAGTGAACAGTGATTAAAGATACCACAGTTCCAACAATGCTGGTCAGTTCTTCTACATAACATCCTCAGTCTGTGGATTAGTGTTGTATCATTGCCTGTTTTCGGCAGGAATCATTATTATTCTTTCCGTACTTCCCTAAGACTATGCAACACCTCTCAGCAGCACTCATATTTCCTCCCTGGACTTCTTGTAACAAGTATGAAGACAAAATGTATACCTGCTCTCTGTGACTACCATTGACGTGTTGTAAACTTGTCTAGACTACTAAATATTAATCTTACTTTCTCCTTCACGCCACATCAGCGGTAGGTACTAGAGAAGACCATCAGAAAACCAGTACAAAAAAAAAAAAAAAAAAAAAAAAGGAGAGGAACACTGTTAGAAATCACTTTTGCTAATAAAAATTTATATTTTGTTCCTAGTGTATGACAGTACAGAGAAAAAGCAGGAAAAACAAAATGCGGAGTGAGGGAGGAAAACAAGGGGGAACCGATACTCTTTCTGCTTAGTCAGTTTCATGGTCAGTTTCCTAGTGGTTTGCCTTGCCTAGCAGGATATTTGGTTCCCTGCACTAACCTAAAGGTTAAAACAAACATGAATTTAAGAGATAGGAACCAACTAAGAGGCACACAGCCACTGAAGAGGTGGTTTGTATCACTGACATTAAGAGATTAGCTAAATTTGAGCTGGCCCCATTTGTTTCCCAGATAAGGTAAAAAAAAAAAAGTTAGGTATGCAGAAACTCCTACATTTCCTTCCACAGGGTAATAGGTAGACTTCAAAGACTTTTTAAATTAAAAACTGAAGTTTACTTTTCTTTCTACATTCTTAGCAAGCATATCTGACTATATTATATTTGTAACTGGGAAAGGTCTATTTTCAGAAAGAAAATGCAGACAAATATAATTACTTACTTCTTAATAAAGATTTCTAGACATAAGCTCTGAATAATGTAACCTGACATAATGGACATCAAAATATAAATTAATGGTTTCAGCTCTAACACAGTAGCAGTCTAAGCTATTGTTAAATTTCAAGCTTTTCAACTCTTTAGTGAATCAGTTTTGATCAAAAACTATGATAGATCACACCTTTACAACAGTGCTGCTTACTTACGTAGATTAGTTCCTTTTCTTAAATTGCCTTAACTGGACGCAAGGCTTTATAAACAACACAAACGGACATCACTTTTTCTGTGAACTTTGTTATACTGATCCATCAAAAGGAACTAATCTGTGCTGTTCTAAAAACATAAAAAGAAACAAATTATCCATGCTAAAGAAATGTTTAAGTAGTTCTAAACCACAGATGGGATTAGAAGGATTATAGAAAAGGTTACTCCTAAATACGAGTCATTTTAAAAGAGTGAACTCATCAGCCATTGAAGTAGTTTCCATTCAATCTGTAAAATATATAAAGTGGGCACAGATGCAGAACACATTAATTTACAACTGGAAAACATTTCTTAAAATTTGAAGACTGCTTAACTTCTATGCAAGCATTAAGTAACTAAGAATGTGTATCTCATCATACACATTAATTCTCTCTCTCTCTCTTTTTTCTCAAGGTTTTCTACTCTCAGTTTCAAAATCTCTGCAAAAGGTAGAAGACAAAGATATGTTGCTAACCACATTAAAGCTAGGAAAAACTCTTCAAAATGGAGATAGAACTGCGAACAGAGGAGCTATACCTTTGCTGAAGCATTATAAGACTGAAGACAGCAGTGTTTTGGATGAAGAGGATGACAGAAACATGAAGTTTTTGGTGAGTTTTCAGTTTTACATTTTGGCTTAATTGTAAAATGGAAATTCTCTTTATAGCCCTTTATAAAACAAGTACAATAATTTAAAGCCATAACCTGGTGAATATACAAAAATATCAATTTGGCATACTATAGTCAAGAATAAGTTTTCAACTACAAGTATCTAATTCCAAGATTTTAAATGTGTAAGTTGGAGAGTTGAATAAGAGTAATCTGATTTTTACAGAACTATAGGGAGCCAAAACTTGTGGGGAAAAAAGCCTATATTTATGTTTGATTCAGCATGTCCCTATATGCAGCAACAGGCTTTTAACTTCACCAAATATAAGACTCATTATTTTATCATGTTCTTTACCATAAAACCAATTCAGCCAAAGATGTAATACAGGTCATTACTTTTAAAATATCATCTTGAAAGATAAAATACTTGCACTGCTGAGTGTAAAGTATAAAAAGTGAACACAACTGACTTTATTTAAAGATAAACTGTTACTCTTGTTTTCCCTTAAAACAGGACACAGGCTCCAGACATGATTTCTTAAATCATGTTATGCCAATCAACTTAGGTAGAAAGCAACTGCCTTATCTTGCACTGAAGGGAGTCAGGGCTTTTCCAGCTGACACTGAAATTCGAAATATTGAATCAATACAGGAAAGAGAGACTGCAGATGAAGAAAATTCAGCTAAATTCCCTATAGGAAGAACAGATTTTGACAGTAAGTATATTTTCATTTTTACACAAAAATTATTTCATTCTGGTACAGTATAATGCAATGTCTACATAGCAATTTGCTAAAGGTCCATTTAGAAACTCCATGCCACGTTTGGGATTTCCTAGGGCTGATGAAATCTTGCATTTCCAGTTTACATCTATTGTGATTTAGTGCACAGGGGAGGAAGCATTTGTTAAATCAATATTTCCAGAGGACATAAAGAATTCTAGTTCTTTGATGATTTATGCTTTCAGATATTTTTTTTTTTCCTGTAGTGCTCAGGTGTATGCTGGGAAGAGTCTATCGACCTTGTTGGCAAGTCTGAAAACTAGTGATCTACACCACCTTCTTTGAAGACTAAACATTTTATTATGAAGTTAATGTAATTTGAAGTTACTGTGTTTTAGTGTGGCTATACATTTGCATCCAAAAATACTTTTCCACCGCATTGTAGAAGGAAACATAATTCATTACCAAAAAAGAACATAGCTATAAGTACTAATAATGTATTGTTATCAAAGAATAAAAGACTTCTGCATAATCCAGACTTATAAGTATTTGTCTAATATTACACAAAAGCTACTTCCACTTATTTGAGTATGAAAGGAAGCAATTAATGAATTTCACCCTTTTCTCATAAAATTTTACAACTTCTGAACCAGTCAACATACTGTGTATGTCAAAACAAAAACTTACAGTCTAAAAAAGTGAGTTAATTTTGCCTGACCAGCAATCAACTTGTTCTTGCTTGCAGTTTTGCTGTGTTTTCTTTTTCCACCAATTTCGCTGTCCAATTCCTTTTGAGGGTTGTTTGAAGTCTTAGGTCTTTTAGCATTTTTTTGCAAAGATGGTTCACTTTCCTTATCACAGATTACTTTGTCATTATTCAAATCCATCTGTTCATTCTTGGAGTTCTTGTTTCTTGGCTGACAACTCAGCTTTCCCATTTCTGTATAACTTCTAGTCTGGTGAACATTTTCAGAAATAGTTCCAAGCACTAGTACATCATCAAGACATGAATTCATACCTTCTGTCATATAAGAATATCAAAAAACATATGTGAAAAAATAAGAAGTTACCTGGGATTAGTCATCCTTTTTCTATCAGAGGACTGTCATGTGATTTTTTTAATCAAAACTAGTGCTTTATCAGTAAAACAAAACTATACCGGTCATTGCAGTTACATTTGCTATGTGTTCATAAGTGTACTGCCAATTTAAAATGACATTGCTCAAAAACATGTAATAGCAACTAACTTAAGGAAGTGGATTTATGACTAAGATATTGGAAAACATGCTTAAAGGGCCTAGAAATTATATATATTATATGGTTTGTAGTGAAGTAAAACAAATTTTTCTTTTTTGAATGGCAAAAATACAAATGTCACTTAGCTTACTTTTGCAAAATAAGAAGAAACATTACGTAATGTATGTAAAATATATTTTTTTACCTCAAGATAGCATCAATACATATTTTTCAAACAGGTTTATATTTTCAAAGCATTAGCATTTTAATTTTAATGCAAATACATTTAACTGATCATATCATACACAGAGCAATGAAACGTTTTTCTTGAAAACATATTTATACTTGAGTTTTACTAAAGCCTTGTTTGATAACATTTGAAATACCAGCTATCACATTTAATTATTCCATCCTACTACAGCTTACCTGTGAGATATCCAGCTTTTAAATGTTGCTTTGGTGCAGGATGCATGCAGTTTGGAACTTGGCTACTGCTGAGGAAGTGCTGACCCTTTATTTCACTCAGCTCATTTTTATACGTACATGCAAACTGAGATTTGATTGAAGATTGCTTTATCTGCAAATAGCAATCTGGTATTAGATTTAATTATTCACAACAGTAAAAGACAACACCTGCAAGACTACTAAAATAATGTTTCCCCATTCTTCTGTCTTGAAAGCTTTTAAGTCAGGTAAAGTATTAGAAAAATGAGTATGTTATGAAGTATTCATTTACAAAGTGTAAAGGCTTTCAAGAATACTAATAAATTATTCTATTAAAGTCCTAAAATAGTTTTAAAATCTTTTTTCATCTCTCTCAGAAAGTTACACATTAAGTTTTAAAGCTTCAACCTAAGATTTTGTCAAAGTTAGCCCCCTCTTTTGATAGACTGCAGACTCTACCATTTTGAGTAGCTATCATAGCTACCACAGTCAATTATCATACTTCTACAGGTCATCATCTTCCAGATGTCAGTAATATAAACTGTAATATACCTAAAACTGTAATATAAAGTATTATTTCAGATCTGTCTTTGGCAAATTTCAGATTTCCCATTTACTCACAAAATAAAGCCATTTCCTTATTGAATGCCAATGTCTGACTCCACATTTGTCAAAACATACCAATATAGCATAAGTTGCCAGAAATCTACAGTATTGAAGAACACTATTGTATCTGGTTGTGCATGCTTATCTCCACCTCCTAGTCTTAGAAGCAGGGAACCTAGTCTCATAGCACGGGTAAATCAAAACATTTGGTTTGACTACAAAAAATTAAATAAGATTTTTCAATATATTCAATATATCCATATTCAATGGAATCAATGGTTACAGGTCAAACTTCCTCAGTTTACATTTAAGTTACAGCTTCACATCAGCTTAGAATTTCAGGGTCAAGCTTTGTAATTTCTAGCCAATTTATATCACAAATGCTATAGACTCTGCAAGATAAATTCTGCCCCCACTTCCATTTGAAAGTCTACCGGATTATAGAAAAGATGTTGAAAGGTATAGCACAGAGCAGATAATTACAATATATTAGCTAATAATTTAGCTAATAATTCTATTACAATAGCACAGATAAATTCAAATAAATTTGAGCTGAACAGGTGCTACAGTACAAATATCAGGACAAAGAAAAAGCAAGAAACATTGTCACAAAATAAATGTTGCTATATACATAGATAACAGGAATGATTTGTCAAAAAAGAGGTTTACAGGCACTTTTCTGATTAAAAAGTTTGCATCATGTAAGTCTAGTTTTCTTCTTAATACCAGCATGTTTAAATTTTACAGTTCAGGTTTGACCCTTGTAGATATATTTTTCTTCCAACTCAAAATCTCAGATTTAGACAGAAAGAAAGAATACGTTCCCAGAAACCTCCTTTCACGCAGGCCTTCATCCACAAAATTCAGTCACAATTTATGCCACTTTCGTCAGATGCTGTTTTCATCCATATAAGCTAACAGACTCTAGCTTTTTACCATCAAGATGCAACTGAAGTATACTGAAGTGTATATATCTATATATCTATCTTCATGATACTGCAGTTGGCCAGGTGAACACACCTACAGTCTTTTTGGAAAAAAAAAATCCCGTTTATTTACAGAAATGTAGTTTTTCTTTCTGACTTACTATGTCTGCACATATATAGTTTCACTTTAAACTCAGTATTCCCTTCAAGAGTTAAAAAGACCCAATTTTCCCAGTTGTCCATCACTCCCAAAGTGCAATTTCTCTGTGCAAGATAACAGCCTGAGAAAGAAAGGCAGATTTAACAGGGAGAACTAGCCAGCCTGACTCTCAACAATTCTAATCTTTTTTAAGTGTTAATCTAGTCTGTACTTAAAATATTTACCATAAGGTAAGACTATATACATAGACATTTACAAGGTTTTGTGTGCTTTAAGTTTATGCCTTAGCTCACCGAGTCACTAAGTATACGTCATTAACTTTATACGCTTTTCAGAAAGTATTTTGAAGGATAGAGAAGCTATACCCAGGTTAAGCTTAAGAATTTGAAATAATTAAAAATGCAACTCTAATCTAGCTTAAACAATCAACATCCTATTGTACAATTACAATATTTAGAATATAAGGGGCTTACATTTTCTTTAAGCTTAAGGTTACAGTAATATTAATGAAAAATATTTTCCTGTATTTGCTATGTTTCTTAAACACTTAAAATTCCCTCAATTCTTAATTATTGTTCATCAAATGACATCAAAAATCACATACTCATATTGCAAGAGGCAAATAAGCTAGAATTTGTGCTGAGTTGATGAAGATATAATGAACACAGCACGAAGAAACTGGAGCAAGAAAGCCTGATAGTCACGATTCTATAACCAACAATAAATCCACTTATTTTTGGGGACATCAGGGTTTCTTTTTACCACCCCCATCCGACACTTCACTAATTCAGTTTGCAGGGACTAGAATATGAAGTCAAAGGACAGAAGTCAAGCTCAAATACCGAAAAACTTGCAGCACAAATCCATCTATCTGTTTTAACTTCACCAAAGCTTGAAATATGCCTCAAAACTTCACTCGGTATTGCACCATATACCGTTTAGTCATTTGCAAACAGTATATAAAGCTCTACTAAATACGACTGTTTCGGCTGATGTTAGCACTAATCTAGAGGGCATATATAAATCAAGAGTGCAAGACTAAATTTGTTGAAGCAGTCAAACTTCCCAACTAGTCTAGGAATGTATATTCACTAGTAAAAACAACTGTATTACATTGAGATAGCAATAAGTAAATTTTAATAGCCTGAAGGCAGAACAAAAGAGCACAAGTCTACTGCTGAATTAAAGAGTAGAGCTTCACTGGAATGTTTTTAAAGAAAAAAGAGTAACTTAAAACTTGACTAATGCACACATAATGAAGCCTGTCAACAGCTTGAAATAACTCTTAGAAATTAGAGTTCTTTTACATTAAATTCCCTGAAAGCCACTGCTTTGAGGGCACCATCCCAATGACTCACAGCACTGGGAGAGCAAAAAGATACTGGGAGCTCAATTTGCTAATCAAGTAGTTGCACACAAATGGCATGCAATAAGCTTGGACTTACTATCCCCTCTCCTCTTCACAAGCAAGTGGGATGTTGCTGTCCCTGTACAAAGAAATAAATTTTGCTGCATTTCAAAAGGTGTTCATTGTTACCCCTGTTCAGCTGGAAGAAAAGTATGACAGAATTTTAAGACAGTGTTTCAGCACATGTAGGTCAATTAGTAGTCCTAATGAGTAGATAAAGCAGTACATTCTCCCACCTTGACTTCTATATCTAGAGAAGTTTTTCAGTTGTTCGAGGTGCCAATAATAAAACATTCACTTTTATATGAAATGTTAATGGTGCATGATCTATTTATTTCTAAAAGTTAGTTGATAATCTATTCCAGATCTCCTTCCAGCATCTGCATACAGACAGTACTGCCAATATTTAGTCAGTAAGAATGTTGAGATTTGGTTTTTATACACTGGAATGGCATAATAGAATTTGAAAACCTACATCAGTAACAACAAACATATGTTTTTATTTTCTAGCCAAACAGAGTACTATTTGGAAGAGGAAAGGACATAAAAAGAGAAAATGTCTTTTCTCCACCCTTACCCTTGTCCTTTTAGAAAAAAAAATTAAAGCTAATTTGAAAGAGAATGTTGAAAAAGGGAAGGGAGTGCAAAGGGAAGAGTAACAAAACAATAAATGGTAACATTGCCAAACCAAGGCATCATGTTATTCAAACATGAAAAATGTCCTGAATAGCTCAGGTAATAGCAAGCTTTTATTGCACTGAAACTATCAATTTTTTTTAGCATGACATTTTACCAGCCTTTTGCTATCCCAAATTAACCTACTACTGTTTTGAGAACATTTAGCCTCAAATCACCTCATTACTGGGTTTTGAAAGTACTCAAAACTCACAGCTACAGATCCCAGGAAAGCAGTTTAGGGGTCTTGTAGAAACAAGACTTCCACACAAGTGTGGCTCATCAACTGACACTAATGATAAAGTCTTTAATTTGTGCTGAACATAACCTTTTTCTCCCCTCCTCCTCTCTCCTCCAGATACTCAGTTTTAGTATACTCCATGCACATTGAAACTACTAGTCAGCTTAGTGTTCTCCATAATCATATTCCACTTAGAAATAAATATTTCTTGCTACAATAGATGAGACTACTACCTGAGGAAGATTGTTTTCTCTATTACTATGAATTCTCTGCTCACAATTAGAGCAGACATACAGAAAACTCTTGATAACTTCCTGTTGGTAGTTTTCCAAGTCACAGTTTATTTGTACTGGAATCACAAAGAGGCAAAACAATTCTCTCAAGTAACAGCATTTAGAGAACTAAGCAATGAAAAATAACAGCAGTGCATGAAGCTAGATATTAAGTCATTTTATATAGGCATGAACAAGTCACATGAGAAAGGCAGACTGAGATTTTTTGCTTTGTGGAGCTTTTTCCTTGGAAGGATTTCTATACACAGTAAAATTACAATGGACTTCAAGCATGCCAAGATTTGTTAGAGTTCTTAAGCCACAAATTCTTTTCAAAACTAAAACTACAGTTATGTTCCCAATTGGAGGGAAATAGTGCCTCATATAGGAAAGGTTGTCTCCAGTTACATTAAGAAAAAACCATGCCAAACTACTGAAATTCCTTGCAGCTGTTTCAGGGTAAATGTGTTAACAATGCAGCAGGATTTCTAAAACAATGTATCAAAAGGCCAAAACAATCTTAAGTTTACAAAAAAAGATCTGGTACTCTCTCATATATTGCATGCTCACAGCCTAATAGCTTTTGTTCCTTCCTTCTTAACTCCTGAAGTTCTCGGTTTCACTCAATCCCATTTGTTCAGGAACAGAATTTTACCTACGACTTTAAAGTCTAATTAATCTTTTCTGGTGCAGAAGAAAGATGAGATATCTTATTATGCACCATTATTGTTGTCTTAAGTTGCTCTTTAACCTAAATAAAGCAGGTGATTGTAACAGTCCTTCCATTCCTCCCTCTCACCAATAAGCACGACTTACATAACCCCACTGAAATCAATAAAATAAGTAGTCAAACAATAGGGTATCTACCCATTTCAGATAAAGGGAAGTATGATTCAAAGAAGCAGACAAAGTTGGATGAACCCTTTTTAGATAATACACCTCTTTCCTGTCCAATTAAACTTTCTACATATTTTTATAAAGCAGAAAGGATTGATAAAGATAACAACAAGAAATGTAACTTGATAGATGTTCTGTAGACCTTTCTGAATTAAAGACTCCTTCCACAAAATACCATTCACCAGAAGACACTTCACTTAAACAATAGATAACAAACTTGAAACTCTAAGTTGTCTCTCAAAGGAATATTGAGTTTCTTATTACTCTTACCTGCTTCTGCTGGAGGGAATGAAAAAAATGCAACATGCTAGCTCCCCAGACTTCTTTCTCCTCAAGGGATAAGAGCAACAGCTTTGCCTCTAACAAATGCTGTTATACTTAGGTGATCTTTCTGCATCTCTTCCAGTATTTAATGAGGATTGGAAGACAAAAATATTTCTTTGTCTTTCACTGTTGCCAGGAATTTGTTTTGGCACAATGGAAATACCCACAGATTTATTTTATTTTTAAACACCAATTCCAGTTCATAGCTACCCGTTTACTTTATCCACTCTCCATGTTTTTAGATACTAAACACATACGCATGATGTTGTGCCCTAGGTCTAAATACTGTCAATCTGTACTCCTCCACATAATTCTGCAGAAGTTGAGATATCAGTTCCTCTTAAGGAAGGAGAGGGCATAATGTCTTCCCCCCTGTTTTTGTTTTGGTTTTTAGACAGGTGTTTCTCCTTTCACTTCCTAGATTTTCCAAAATTTCTTTATTTAACACATACATCTTGATGGGATGCAGCATACAACCAAAATAATCATCACTACTGTGTTTTTCTTCCCCTATCAAATATAATGGAAAAAGACTTTTATGGGACAAGTTCTAATGAGAGATCATGAATTTGTACTATAGACTAACCATCTAACCACCCATCAGAAGCAGCATGGCAAGAAGGTCCTTAGGACAACTTTATGGAACTAATGCTACCATCACACACATTGCATAAGAAACTTCTCAGAAGAATCATTGACATTGAAAAGAAACATCATGTTGCTATTGTCTTAAAAAAAATATGTATTGTATCTCTGAGTTAATTGTTAAAATCAGTGCATTATGCGTAACAAAATTTACAGCTCTGAATTTTACAAGCAACCTGTACATATTTCAAGATGGCTGTATGAAACAACAATGAAGACTGATACTCAGTGTGAGAAGGCGATAAATATTACTGCAGCACTTGAGATCTATGGTCATGGACAAGGAATTTGTTGTGCTATGTGCTGCACAGTAAAGGCAGAAGAAAATTTATTTCTACCAAGAGATATTACAATCCAAGAAAAGAAATATATGGATTCATAGAGAAAGGAACTGAAATTAGTCATTGTAATAGGCATCTATCTCAACACAAAGCACTGCTAAGTTCTGGGGAGAGGTTGATTTAAAGGTACTGAAAAATATTTTAAAGGAGGATAATGAGTTCTGCAGATACCTATAGAAAGTCTCTTCAGTCATAAGAAACAGTATAAAACAGACAGCTGAAAGAACTAGTCTGAAAATTAACAAATGAACAATGAAGATTTGTATTGCAGGCTGAATGTAAGCAAGGACAGATATCTCAAACCAGCAAATCAGAAATTATCAATGGGTTGGGATAGGTGAAAACAAGTAGCTTACCTCTACTACAACTTAAAGGAACAGGTTGAGATGCAAACAGAAGAATGGCATCTAGCATCTAATCACTTTGATAACAACTTTTTATACAGCAATCTCAGTGGTGCAACTATCAAATCCAAGATACAGCAGCACATCAAAAAGCAAAATGAACCTTTAATAAATTATAGTTGAGTGGACATACAGATAGAGAAGAATATATTCCAGAGGTGTTATGGAGTGAAAAAGCAACAGGTAGGATACCATCCTGAATGTTAAGTATACCAGGAAAGATACCACCTCAAGATCAATAATAAATATACCATAAATATACCACCTCAGGATCAACAGCTGGGTATTCACAGGATGGCACAGAAGTAACAAAAGATGTCAGTTTTGACAGAAGGGACGCTTAGGTCAGATGTAGATCTGTGAACTGTTCATATAAAGTTGATAGCTGATCTTCTGTTTGTAGGTGTGTTCATCCACAAAGAAGGTACAGAAAGAGAAGAGAAAGACGAGGCCCTCTAAAGTCTTCATAGAAAAAGGTAGAAAAGGAAGGAGTAGAAACATGCAAAAGAAACTCTGTAGAAAATGTTAGAAAGGTAGAAAGAAAACCAGAAAAAGACAAACTGAAAGATTAATGTTTCAAGAAAGAAAGCAAGATTTTACATGAGAGGCTGAAGATCAAAGGTGAATGGCAGAGAACTATCGCAGTTTTAGTTAAAACAATCATTAGCTGTTTGGCAACAGCAATTTCAGCTGACTGGAAGGAGAAGCAAGACTAAAGAGAACAGAAGAATACCAGAAGAATAATTCCAGTCTTCACAGCAATATAGCGTAGTTTAGATGGCAATGTGTGGCTGACACACCGAAAACAGAACAGTAAACATAATGGAAAACACTCAAACATCTTATCTTGAGTAAGAGGACTCTATGCTGATACATAATTGAGGAGCATTTACACTCTGAACTGCATGATTTTTATTTTCACTTTTTTAAACGGAGAAACATCTTGAGATACTTGGCCTCAGTTCCATGCTGTACTTTGTCTCTCTGGTACAATAGGATACACTGGAAGAAAGCCATAAAGAAGACTGATTGTGATTACTAGAGGCAGTTTAGCAGCCTCAATGTTGCTCTAAGATATGAATTGTATAGCTCCAAGCAGCCATTCAGTTTAACATGTTAATCATGTTACCATCCACATTGCTAAAGTAGGGGAAGAGAGTCCACCATCACAGATATAATGTACGAAACACTATAGGCAAGCTTTACAGTCTAAGATGCCAAAGAAAGTTTAGAAGTGTGACCCACAGACTTTAGACCTGTTGCTTGTCCTCTTTCAATTTTGGTTTTCATAAGACCAAAGGTCATTTCTATTTCAATATAGTCATCCTCGATTATATTAGGCACCTGGTGAGCATCAAAATCAGTTCTAGAAGTTGATTGAAAGATCTCAAAAATTATTGGCTAAAAACATTCGATGTTTCATTCTATTTTGCTACAGGTACATTCTGTTTTGTCAATCATGGTGAAGGAAGACTAGGACAAGAGTCCTACAGAAAAAGTCAGATTCTTGTATTGTATTAACAAGAATCATAGGAGTCACAGAACCCTCATTAGATTCAGGCATTAGAAAAGCAGCACAGGAGAGTGTCATGGTGAACCTTTACATGTAATTCCTGCTCCTGAAGTAGAACTCATTCAATTATTCAGAGCCCTCTGAAAGAACTACTATTTGCACAGAAATTATGGTAGCTAATCTGGTTTTTTTTATTAGCAAAAAAGTATTTCCAAAAAATAAAAATAGTTTCATAACATGAATCAGCCTCGAGATTCATATTTTTGATAGTTTGTGTCAAAAACCTTGTAAGTTTCCAGAAAAGATCTCAAATGTGACAGGTAATTACTTTTAGATAATGATTTTTGCACTTTGATACTGAACACAGCTGTTCATGAATCCAATTATAAAACCTCCATTTAGATAAGAAAACTATCTATTTCAATGTATTATGCAAACAGCATATCACATTTTTGCTATTTGATTAATAAAGCTGCAATTTAAATATGCTGTTTATCGTAAAATTAATATAATGAAGATCCTTTATAAGCTTCAATCTTTCATAATTTGCCTATGAGTTTTAAGCCAAATTTCACCATAATTAGTGCATGTATCCAAAATGCCCATCATTCACCCCACCCCCATACCAAAAAAAGCACTCAGACTGAAGTTGGAGTATATTCAAAACACGCTGAAAAGGTTGACAGGGCTTTTCATTTTATTTCCTTTTAATAACTTTCTACTTTTCAAACACATATATTAAAATTCCCCTCATGTCCAGTGGCAGAAATAGTTCTAGAACAGCACAATGGAAAATATTTCTGATGGCTTAAAACACCTCTGTTTTCTTCCTTATATACTAATTATATTTGCATTTTTACCTGCTGTCAGGAATAAGTTCATAAAAAATATTAAGTCACTACTTTTATTTAGCTCTCTGTTGAAATGCTGTGGAATATACAAACTCTGTCTCTTTCCATAGTCCTAACACTCAAGTTTGGCAATTTTGAGGAAAAAAAAAAGACTAACAAAATGCACTGGAAGACTGCAATTTTCAGAAACATTGAAGTTGTTCTTTTGAATAGTGCCACTCAACACCAACATACTCTTATAATGTTCCATTTCATCTACAAAATAGCAAACATTAGCATCTTTATTTTATTGTTCACAAAGCAATGTTATGGAAATGTCCTCAGAACGTTACAAATAAAAAGCATTCCAAAGAAATGCAATGAAAAAGTCATTACTACACTTTTAGAATGCCTATATTATCAGAACTGAAATCAGGTGCCTGTATTCAGTTTCGTCTCTGTTTTCACATAGCTCCAGTTTTATTTCTACAGTCCTGAAATACACAGATAGGCAAATTAAGAGATACAGATTAACTCAGTATATCTCCATTAAGAGATCTTCATTAGGAAGTACGTTTAAGTTTAAAGCCCTTCTCTTCTGGAGTTTTAAATATTTCCATTCGTATTACAACACTGTTCAAGTTCGTCCAATTACCACAAGTTAATCACAATTACATTTCTTAAGCTACAGGATAAAATTCTCAAATACTTGGCTGAAATGTAACACCGTTATTTTCATTTTAGCATTATTATTTCAGGGCATCTATAGTCGCATAGCAATTCCTACACAATACCTTAATTTCTTTTTCATCCATACATTTCCGAATACGTTGTCTAAGAGGTTTTGGAGAAGATCCATTGGATTGTGCTGGAGATCTATATTAAAGAGAGATAAGAAGTATTTAGAACATATAAAAGCAATTAGTTAAGAAAAGTAGTTACCACACCAAGTTCCTCAGAAACAGGAAGGCAAGCATTTTCATTCTCCAAGCCTTACTTTGTTTTCTCCCTTCCTAAGTAACCACATGTACTGTGACAACTGAAGACAACATAATGAAACCAAACCTACAGTTCCAGTTTCTGGTATCATTTTGCAGTATGTTTACAATATTATAGTTCTGCAGCCACAGTATTATTTGTAATGCTGGTGATGAGTTATCAAGTCACCATTCGATTTACACCTCCTTGAATAGCATCTAGTTGACATCCAGAATAAATTTTCCTCATATTTACAGACTTTTCAACAGAAGTACACAAACAAAATGCTTCCACCCTCCTATATTTCAGTATGTGAATAGTTACACACATTAATGAAAAATTTTGATGCATATAATGCAAAAAATTATTGATGCATATAAGAGGGGATCTTTTGGTCTTGAAATAAGAACTAATCTGTGCATCTGTAAATAATTACTTCTGTGTTTATGCTCATGGCAGGCCAGTGTGCATATGACAAGTTTTTTTCAAAAATAACTCATTCTTTATTTTATTTATTTAGCTCATTCTATTCAATTATTCCATAAATAAAATTTATTTTATTTAGCTCATTCCTTATTTTATTTCTTTCTATTTGTCTGTGGTGCAAAATTTCCACAGGACCTTGCAATGTTTTTGCTACTTAAATTGCCAAAACAAGTAGCTTCAGCACACTCCCATCTACACTGTTGTTCTGGTTCGTGAGTCCCCTTTGCAACTCGTAATGACAAAATTCTCAGCATCCCACTTTTCCAACTACTGATGATTCCTCAGGATAAGCACTGATTAAATTATCACTGCTTCTCCAGTGCATGGATAGGTTACTTTCCTTTTCAGTGCCCACAGAAATGGGTTTTCAAGAGATTCTTTGTTTTGTACACCAGATCAATATGGGTATTCCTTAAATGGAAGGAAATTTTAAAAAGCAAGAAAAGAAATTAGCAAGAAGTAATGACTGGCTTTAACATTAATAGGATAGGAAGATGATGGGAATGATATAAAAATAGCAGCAAACAAGAAGTTGCCCCAAACCCTGAATAGCTGTTGAACCTGCAAAACCAGAAAAAGAGAACCTTTATTGCAAAAAGTTATGAAAATACTTAATCCATGGTCATGCAAAATTTAACTCTAAAACATAAAAAAAAAAAATCATTAATTATATCAGAATCACCTTACTTTGATTTCAATATCACTACATTTTTATGTTTACTTAAAAAATTTAAAAATACTATGGGAAAAATAGCACACTTCTGCCTTGCATGCAGCTTCAAAATACAAAGAAATAGCAAGAGAATTTTATTTTAACTTCTATAATACATATCTAAAAAGAATATTTTCCAGAAGATTGAAACGAGGTGCTTAGAGAAGGAAAATATTTGACGGATATACTAAAGGACAGATTAAGTAAGAAAAACTTCAGCTTGGTTAGGATGTTCTAAAACACTGAGGACATACTGTCAGTGCTTACATTTTCAGTTCCCAGATATGCATGCATTTCACAAATTACAATGAAAATATTTTTAATTAAAGAAAGTCAACAAAAAGTCAAACAACAAAATAGCTGCTTCTCAGCAGTAGCTTTTTTGCAGGATTTCAGTGCAGAGAGATAAATCTACCCAATTGATCTAGAAGTTTATTAAAAGAAGAGTAAAACAAAGCAAGAAAAATTCCTGAAATGCTGAAGTTTTGAAAAAGAGGCGCTCTCGTTTAACCTCAGTCTTCACCTGAAAACTAACAGTGCTCTCTCAAACTGACCAGAACCCAGACAAAACTACTCACAAACTTTAAACATGTTTTGGGATTGTTCGGTAATGAAGTCTCTAGAAATATTAAAAAGCATTGTGAAAAACCTCAACACAATAAGTACCATGTGATCAAAAACCATGAAACAATAACTACCACATGAGGTGACCAACAATCTGATACACAGAATCAGATTAGCAAAAAGAATCTAAAAACTGCAGTGATGTTTACTGCCAAAGGTACCATTTATCCTGTAAACTTCCAGATTTACTATTAACGATAGATTGGCAAGAAGAATGCAAACACTCTAGATCAAATATTTGAGACACAAGCATTAACAGAAAAGTGCTGTACCATAGAGGTGCCTGTACATTGAAGCAAATCAGAGTGACACCTTAGCTACTATCCTTTGTAGTAGTAAGGTGTTCAGCATTCATAAAGCAATTGGAGCCTTACAGTAAAGCTGCTAGAGAAATGCAGAACACAGACTTGATAAAAATTGAGAACAGGTGTTGTTTGCAAGTTTCATTTCAGTTTTTGCAAAGTTTTTTATTCCTAAAAGAATTATTTAGGATCATAAATTCAATACTTCGAATAAATTACTTCTAAATCAAATTTTTAAATGGAAGCACCCAGATAATATTAAAAAAATCATATACTGGAAAATAAAACCTAAAACAAATTGACCACTAAGAATTACTAAGGAAAAGAGAAGAACTGTCTAGATTCCAATATAAATTCCCAGATAGCAGTACCTGCTTACACCTACACCGAGAAGATTTTAAGTCAAGCAAAAGTTTTATCCTTTTTGGGGAAAATTAAAGAAAATTAATTCAGCCGAAAAATCAAGTGAGGTAAGTGAAACCAAAGCACTCAGTGGGCACTCATTCAGAAATAGGTGGTTTAAAAGCCATTTAAAATTAAAGAGTTACTCTAAAACAAAAATCAAAATTTCTATCTCTGAATAATACCACTGTTTAATTCAGAATTCATGTGGGCCTTGATTCCATTCACATAGAGCATTAGCCTAAATTGATTACGCTCCTTTTCATTCTGATAAAAATTCAACCACGGTGAGGTTTATTAAAATAATGAAACCATTTTAAAAGTAATGTGGATCAATTTTTCTGAATCTGAAGTAATGGAAAAATAAGAGACTGAAATTGGGGTTATTTTAAGCTTGTTACATAATGAAATGGAAACGTATAGCTACAGCTATCCACAGATATTTGGGAGGAGGTAGAAATATTCCACAATATGTTGTTACAAGCTGACTTTTATATTAAAAATTATTACAGGTTTATTTAGAATTCTTATTAGTGAAACTAATTCTTAAGTTTTATTAGAATGTGCTTGTTCCTTTGGTTTCATAAAAGATGTCGAACAATAAATCTAATGGAACCCTTAAATTTTTTTACTTTTAGGAACCTCCATCTTCCAGTTTAGGACCTATCACCATTTTTCTGTGTCCTTGCTCTTATGCTCACAGCCTTGCACCTGCACACTCCAATAGTGTTGTTATGGTGGGCTGTCATGGGAAATGACTGCCACCAGCATAAGAAACACCCCCTTCTTCCCCACTTTTCCCACCCTTTTCACTGTACCTCTTCTTTTATGTTAGGGAAACCAAAAATGTGCATGCACAGAGATTAATAAGCGACTGGCCACACAGCCCCTGCCCTGGCGAACAGATCCTCCAATCACCACTAAAGGCATTAAAAGCAGGGACAACCAATAAGGGGTAGAGGTAGAATGCTTTTGACAACTTGAGACTGTTCTAAGAGTGCCTTCCCTTTACATCTAATCTCCCAATAGGCTGCGCTTTGGTCATTTGCTTTTTGTAAGTAATACCAATGCTTTGGTAACCATTCAGTATAAGATCTTAAAAAACAAACCAACCCAACACAAACACAAAAAACCTTCTAGTACTCACCTGAAGAGTGTCAAAACAGAGGTGATTCCAAACAAATTTAGGCTTTCATCGTCATATAATAGTTCTGCTTTGTTCTGGGTAGGAGGACTGACAGCTTCTTCATCCAGAAGAACTAGTAAGATCTTTACAGTATCTCTGCCACAATACACAGTGCCATGATTTATGGAATGCAATTTTGGCTGAAAGTAAATAAAATTAAAAGGAACATACAATATGAAAAGTCAGCAAGCCAGACCAATAGGTCCAAAAGGAACCCATATCAGCACAAGGTGTGAGAAACCCCTCCTTCCCTTTTCACAGTAAGCATTTATGGGGAAGCTGCCCATGAGAAAGTTTCTTCCTCATCCCAATTAATTAGTAGAGTTTAGATCACTGCCAGCTGGAGGTATACATTGATGCCCAAGTCACACAGATAAATATACAAATATGTGATGAAATCATGCAGCAGAAATTACCATATTGTTTTCTCACAACCAATTTGAGTGCTATGGGGTACAGAAACATATTCTGGTGAAGTCCAACTCGTCTGACTGAATCTGCTAAAGCAGTTGGTTAAAAGTGAGATTTCCATCAATATTTGACAATAGAGGTACTCAGCACAATCTCCTGTTGTTTGGAACAGGAAGAATTCCTTACGATTTTCCACAAGAATAAAGAATTCCTTAAAGAAAATAATAATCCACATCTGGAAGTGCTCAATGCTACAGTCAGCAGTACATATGTAGAACTCCATAGCCACTATGGGACTGCAAGAATTGCAAGTTTGCTATATTTTTCTTTAAAAGTACTAGTTGTTCCATAGAGAAATTTAGCGCTTAATACACAGTAGTAGATTTAAAAACCTATAGGCTTTCTTATTTACCAATACACTGAATACCCTGATTTTGTTCACAAGGACAGGACAATCAATGAACTGCATTTATCTAATCAGTTAACTGCTTTTAAACACAGTCTTGAAAAGATCAAATTCTATTTCTCTCTCTATTTGATTACATCAATTAGTGTATGTAGCTTTCAAGAAACCATAGCAACACATGTCAGTCAGTTACTATAAGTTATAATCAATAGCTAGAAATAGCAATTACAGAAATGGTTGTTACTTGGCTTTACAGAATTGGCCTATTTCAGTACCATTTAATTTCCTCAAAATTTATTCTGAACCTCTTCAGTCATTACATCACCACATCATAGATTTTTATAAAATGTCATGTGTGTCATGGTAGACTTGTCTTAATGAGAAAAGTGCAAATTTGGCATCATCTTGACTGATTATACACAAAGGAAAAAAAAATCTTTAGCATATAACAATCTCCTAACTGCGAAAAGATGACCTTCAGAAATCTCATGTACTACAACAGTGACTTGGTGTACTAACCATAGACTAAAATCCTATTGTCCACACTGCAATAAGAATTTTAGGCAACACAACAATCCCTGCCATAAAAACCTTGTTTATTAGTAAACTTAAAATCTTGATTCAAATGATTTTTTCAAGATAATAGTCAATCAATCTTTCAAGGGTAGTGACCATTATAGCTACTCCAGACTATCCTGGTTAGTGCCAGAACCACGAGCCAGATTCCATTTACAGTAGTAATTTTCTCAGGAAGAAATTAATCATAATTTCTATTAGTCATGCAGGCTTCAACACAAAGTAGTGCTTCCTGCTACATAAAGTAATAACTTTCCCTGGAGCTCTAGATTCTTATAAAACAGGTATTTGCAGGAAAACTGAGCAATGATGGAAGAAAACTGCCACTGCCAGGAGAAAAGCAAATATTTTTCTAACAAAGTAACTCTTTTCAGGTACACTTTTATGAGGAAGCAGCCTTCCCAGGAGCTAGTGGAGGCATCATTTTCAGCTCTATAGTTAAGATCACATTTTAAATTTGCACTTAAAGAAATGATTCAATCTCTTACGTATGAAAAAACATAACATCATATCAAAACCAGGACTTATTCTGAATATAGAACAATTTTTCTGAGAAATTACAGCATCAGGGTTTGAGCCTTTCTTTATAAAGTGAAAAACAAAACACAATAAAAAACAAGCTATATGTGAAACTCAGCACAGAGCATTAATCTTTGCTGTCCTGATATCTTAATGGAACAATACAGATGCTCTAATTTTTTTTTCATACAGCTCAGATTCATTTGGAAAACTTACGGGTTTTTTTGTTTTGTTTTGTTTGTTTTGGTTTTTAATTAGTAATGGTAATTTACCCCTCTATATGCTTAGTAAAATGTTCTTCCACACCAAGCTCCACTAAAATATACAATTTGGTATCAGTCTCTTAACATTTGTCTAAGCTCCCTTTTCCATCCCTCAACTCTCTGAATCACATATTTAAGAATTATCATTAAAATATACATTCATCACACAATCTTCAAAAACTTCATTTACATCAACAAAAAGAACTCCCCACACAAAAATTAAAATAGCATCATCACAACACCGACAAAGGCAGACCATTTACACACACTCCACTCCTTGTCCCTTCACCACAATTACAAAAAAAAAAAATCCCCATACTTATTCCACTCTCTAGCAATGTTCAGTCCACATTTTGCCTGTTACCTCTTCGAATTACTGTCCTTATCTCTAATGCCTCAGGCCCCACATTGGGCACCACAAAGGACTGTGGTGGGTTGACCTTGGCTAGCCACCAAGTGCCACCAACCTGCTCTATCATGCCCCCTCCTCAACAGGACAGGGAGATAAAATATGAAAAGCTCATGGGGTCGAGATGAGGACAGGGAGTTCACTTACTAATTACCAGCATTGGCAAAACAGACTTGACTTAAGGAAATTAAGGTAATTCATTGCTAATTTATCAAAATTGGACCCCCTCCCTTCTTCCCGGACTCAACTTCACTCCCAACTCTTCTACCTCCTTCGCCCGAGTGGCACAGGGGGATGGGGAATGAGGGTTGTGGTCAGTTCCTAAACGCTTCGTCTCTGCTGTTCCTTCTTCCTCTGCTCCTGTGTGGCATGCCTTCCATGGGATACAGTCCTTCACAAAATTCTCCACTGTAGGTCCTTCCCACAGGCTGTAGTTCTTCAAGAACTACTCCAGCATGGGTCCTTTCCACATGGTGCAGTCCTTCAGGAACAGACTGCTACAGCATGGGTCCCCAATGAGATCACAGATCCTGCCAGAAAACCTGCTTCTGCATGGGCTCCTCTCCATGGGCTACAGTTTCTGCCAGGAACCTGCTCCAGTGTGGGCTCTCCACAGGGTCACAGCTTCGTTCAGGGCACATCCACCTGCTGCGGCATTGGGTCCTCCATGGGCTGCAGAGTGGATATCTGCTCCACTGTGGATCTCCATGGGCTTCAGGGGGACAGCCTGCCTCACCATGGTCTTCATCACAGGCTGCAGGGGAATCTCTGCTCTGGTGCCTGGAGCATCTCCTTCCCCTCCTTCTTCACTGACCTTGGTGTCTGCAGAGTTGTTCCTCTCACATATTCTCACTCCTCTTTCCCAACAGCTGCTGTGCAGCATTTTTTACCCTTTCTTAAATGTTATCACAGAGGCGCTACAACCATCACTGATTGGCTTAGCTTTGGTCAGCAGCAGGTCCATCTTGGAACCAGCTGGAACTGGCTCTGTCCAACAGGGGGGCAGCTTCTGGTGTCTTTTCACAGAAGCCACCCCTGCAGCCCTCCCTGCTAACAAAACCTTGCCACATAAACCCAATACAGCACCAGATTTTTGAAGCCAAGGGGCACATCAGTCACATCCAGACCAGTCACCTCTGACGGCTCTCAGTTACATCCATGCTGTGGTGAGTATGGATGCACTGTGGTGAGTACAGTGAAAAGGATTAGCTTAAAGCCCATCATCCTCTGCTATGTACTCAAGTTTCCTCACTAAGAAGAACTATAGTAGAATCTGCCCATCCACAGTAGATGGGATGTTCCAGCAATCAATTAACAAACTCAAGAACTGGCAAAAACTTCAACATAGAACCACAGACTCACAGTAATATAATTAAGTTCATAAGCTGCCGTCAGGTGCCCATTTTGAGAAAAATATTAACCTCATACTGCTCTCAATTGGATTAAGTATTTAACCACATTTCCTAACAACATCAGGATACAACCATCTTTGCTATCTTCTGCCTCAACAAGGATACTGGTAAACATTTCTACAGAGTCATTAGACTGTGAACTTGACCTATGGAGAACAATAAGAAACACAAACCATTTTGGAAAAGCAATTTTTTGGTGAATTTCTCTGAAGAATGAAGCTTTATTAAAATAGTTTTACCTGTCTTATAATGATCTAAATTTTTAAAAAAATTTTCTCAGTAATACAACTAGCTAAATAAAGACAGAACTGATTAACAGTGATCAGATTTTCAGATGGGGAAGAGAAAGAAATAGAAGGATATGAAAGGGGAAACAGGGAAATACAGTGATGAAAGGTGCAGGGGAAACAGGAAAATGAGGATGAAATATATACTCCAGCTGCTCAGTGGAAACACACATTTAAACCAGTTTAACTAGCCACTAGGGTGTGGCCAGTTTTAGCTCTCATAGAAAAGAAAAAAACATATTGGAAGTCTGATTAAAATTTGTTAAAAATCTTATGTTACCATGGGGTAATTCCAGTGATTTCACAAAACAAAGCGTTCTAACAACATACACACATGCAATGTTTTAAAAAGTTTCCTAGACAAAAATACATGACATTAGATATTTTATATATCAACAAAGTAAAATAAAATAATTAAAGCTGGTTGATGTTTCCATCACAAAAAATATCATCATATAAACCTGAGCAGATTCAAAATACAAAACCCACAAATAGAAAGCCTGTATTCTGCTCTCCACACTGGACTTACAGAATTTTAAATACCCTGATTCCTTCCACGAAATTAAAATCATTAATAGTTTCATTAGTGTCTTGAAACACTAAAAGATAAAAACTTACATGTTGATTGTTTGGGGTTTTATTTTTATTCCCCTCCCACTCCACATTTCACCATGTTTTGGACTTCATTCATATTTAACCTTATTTGGAATGCCTTACCCTTAGAAATACTTGATGCTGAGCTAATTAAAGCCTGTATATTTTAATCAAAATTACTGATATATGTTATCAAATCTTAATTCCTCTTTCATGAGGATTTTTGTTTGGAAATGTGTTATAGCTCTACCGCCCTGAAACTAGTGGCAAATCCGTCAGTTATAAGTATCTACATCTATAACAACTGCAAGAACAAATTAAGTTTTGAAGAGTATTTTATTTACAATTTTGAGGTAAGAAATTTAGTTTAAGTAAATCAGCTTTTTGAAATCCACACTGTAATCCTCAAGTATAAGTCTTTCAACAAGTTTAAAACCACAGCGTAGAGGAAATGACACTACTCTGTACTGTTAGGAAAAGATAATACTCTATATAAAGTCCTTTAAAAAATGAAAAAGAAACAAAACAGGCGAAAGACATTTGCTTTCTTATAAAGCTAAATAGTAAAAAGAACAAAAGAAGTCCCATTACCCGTGCTGGACTGACTCCAGTAGTACTGGCAGTCAAGACTTCATGTTGTGAATCGATAATATTTTTAATCTTCAAATCCAAATCTTGTACAACTTCCTCTACTGCCTGACAGAAAGGATCCCCATTGCTTCGGCCTTTTATCAAATGCATCTTCACTGTTGACAGAATTCGCCCCCCTGCAATTCTGAAAATAGGCACAGGGTCATCTCCACATTAATCTTGGCAGCACTTTAGTATACCTATTAGTGTTGAACATAGCCAGTATTCACAGTTAATCAAAACTCTACAGAGAACAGCTTTGATCTTTTAAATCAAACAGCAGTGTAGAAGTATTGTACAACATAATAGTTTGCTGAAAAAGAAGATTATATGGAAAGGTAATGAATTCAGCATTTAGTAATACTCTGAGCTGCAACACAAAACTAACTTCTCCATAAAAGTTCAAAGAAAAGTACTTTCTTTAAACCTACTGTTACTGTTTTGCTCATAAGCTGTTAAGTGTAAACAAAACGTTTCACTTGAACATGCATTCCAATTTTACAGCCTATTAGATTTTTTAGTCTTTTGTGCTTCATGAAAGTGCTTCAAATATCAATCTGCTTTCAATTTTATTTAAATAGATAATAATTAGACTAGGTGAACACCACTGTTTGCCATAAAGGCACACACTATTAATCTCTTTTTTTCATCAACTAGAAAAAATGCCTACAGAAAAGAACTTAGGAGTTTAATTATGAAATGTCCATGCAGTTTGACATCAAAGATATAAATAATTGAATCTGATTGAAATAGGGGCTTTATTTCAACTCTTCTTATAGAAGGATAAGAAGGCACTTGTGAGTGCACCTAAGCTATGTTTAGACTGTTAATTTCATTTTGTAGTTCTGTACCTCGAACCATCCACATGTATGATAGACTACATTTGGGATTACTTTTGGATTAGAACTACCAGGTCCCTCCCCAGTGAAACTCTTGAGTGATTAGCAGTTACAGTTGTGCAGATGATGCTCCAATAGGCAGTACTGAGAGAACTACACCATGTCTTGCTCCCTCAGACCTGCAAGATCCACAGATTCTATAAAAATGGAAATATAACAGGCTGCCAGGTAGACCGCATTATCCTGAGTAAGGAAAAAAATAAACAATTCTTGAAGAATCACAAGAAAACCCAAAGATCTTGTGTCCAAAAAATGGCTGCAAGGACTGAGGCTCTTGTGACAGTGCGCCTTGATTTACACAGACCGGGTGAATGAGAAGCAGTTACAATTTAAAGAGTTCCACTGGCCATTTACAAGTGCATCTTTCCATTCAGGGGCTGAAAGTGCTGCCCTGAACAATGCTGCTCAAAATTAATAAAATAACTTAAAGCTTATAATGACAGTCAGCATAGTCCCATTACAAGAATGCAAAATTCAAGTATTAGGACCAAATTGCTCATTTTGCGAGTGCAATGTGTGGTGAGTAGGTACAAAAGCCATATGGAGGTATGAAGTTATGCATCACTAGTCACGAGGCACTACTATGAACTATGACTATGAACCAGGCTAAGTAAATTAGCTAGGGGGGTCACAGATCTTATCTCAGAGGTGATAAAACTATATTGAGACAACAAACGTGTCTTGACTACTTTAATGAACATTTAGTGAAAGACAGAATAAACCCCTTGAGTTAAAAGCTTAATAATTTTGTCCAGTACCTACACAAAACATTAAGTGAAAGACCATGTTTTACCATTGCTTAAGTTTGGGCAAATAAAAAAAAAATCATTACAAGAACCACTCAACTCTCCTACATCATAATGCATCTCTTCCCAAAAGCTTTTTGAAGTTGCATGCTGTTTGGAAACTTTATCTTCAATTCTCCAGTCTTCTCAGAACATGAACCCATCATCCAGACCAACAAAGTTGATTACAGTCAAGATTCCCCTCATCCCACCAAGCAATAATTTGTCTTCTGTTTAACATCATGTATATATAAGGACTTCATTATTTCTCTGTGACTTTTGTCTTCAATTTCATTCTCTTTCTGTTTCTTTTCCTCAACCTTTTCAGAGTGTGGTAGTCTATATTTTATTTTTAGCTCTAATTTATAGGGGCTTTAATTGATTCCCTCCCCCCGCTTTTACTTTTTCATGTAAAGAGTTATTTTCACCTTTGAATACCAGCTGATAACACATGTAAGAGTAAAGGAAGAAATAAAACCATAACAAGAGGCACAAAGGACCCATTCTTTAAAAAAAACTGATTCCCAGGAAAAAAGGTAGAACTGTGTTCAGAAAATACCCTGAACTGAAATTAGAGATTGAGACAGCACTCAGGAGAAGTATCATAAACATTGTCTCTGTTCTTACAAGGCACATATTTATTGCCAGTGTTGGAGACAAGACTCTGTGCTTGTGGACCCTTCTTTTGAAGTTATACAATCACATTTCATACCCTTAAAGTAACACAGATTCTCTGTGGTGACACTACTGACTCAAAAAATTAAATGAAAACAAGAAAAAAAAATCTCAGCATTCCAGTCACCATGTTTTTGACAAAAAAATTCCAATGAAGCTAGATATGCTCATGATGAGTTATGAGTTATCAGTTATGAGACTGATGTCCTGTCAGATTTTTTTTTTTAAGTTTTATGAAGCCTAAGTATAACATTAGGCAAAAGCAACAAAAGCAATTCTGTTCATTCTGAACTCCTGCTATAAGAATTTTTCCTTTGCAGTCAATCTGCTTCGTGATCTATTGCAATAATCCATCTTCCCTTTCCAATTAACCTACAATTTCTTTTTCCAGACTTTAAGAAACACTAGCCATTTTCCTGCAACTTCTAATAATTGGACAGGATGGCCAACTGTAAAAAAGGGTAGCCTGTTAAACTTTGCCTTTAACAGCAGAATTAGTGAGGTTTTATTTTTTTTTTTCCCAAGAGTCAGGTTTATAGTCAAAAACAAAGCAGAAATGCAGCATGTTGAGTATAATTTAACATCAGTCTGTCTAGCTCAAACACCAATAGTTTTAACTACACCATGGACTGTACAAAATTACTCCATGTTAATTCACACACCCTGAACTCTTGAGCTGCTATTGGCACCTACAGTAGAATTTTTAGATACATCTATGATGCTGCACATTACAGCTCTGCCAAAAAAAACCCAAAGCAATGGCTTTATTACTCCAGATGACACAGCCAAGAGTCAGATGATGACTAATTTTTCAACTTCCTCCATGCTTACTGGCTTCCTCCATGCTCCTGCCTACTTATCCTAAAAGGATACCTTGTAAATTGAAAGAAAGGTATATTTTGTACACATTAAATTCTGAAGATGGATTTTGAATTCTAGTTGGGAGAACCTCCATCAAATGAAACTGTGCATGTCTACATTCATATAAAATATAAAATAAGTGGGCAGAGCTAGGTAAGAATATGAATTGAGTCAGAGGAAAACTAGTTTGTTTATATTGTTTCCTGTTAAAATACATGGAGGGAACTGGGCCAGAGACCTTGCTGTTTTGGCTTATTCTGGCTGAACAAGACTCCCGTAAATAACTTAGAAAACCTGAAGTTAACTTGAAACTTTTTTTTGGCTTTTTTCCAGGTCAAAACCAAATATTTCCACACAATTCTCAGCTTTAACTTTCACATATTAAAGATTATTCAATTCACATTAGATTTGCAGGCTTGGTTAAACAGAAAAACTTGTGCTTTGCAGAAATTTAAGCACAATGTATGCACTTAGCCAAAAGAAAAGTAACCATGTGAAGTCTCTCTGCACACAGGTCAAGAACCATCCAGATCTTAGAAAGGATAGAATCCAGTGCAAGTTGTCAAGAGGTAAGAAGAGAGCACTGCTGAAGTTCTGTCTCAGAGATGCATATATGAACTGTAGCCAAGTCTCCTGATGCTTCTTGCCAAACTGCTTTATTTCCCTCAGCCCTAAACTGACACTTTCCAAAATAATACCCTCAAATGAGAAAAGCATTGTATTAAATAAGTAGTATCTGTTCCATAAATACTGTGCTGAACCTAGAACTCCAAGACAAACAAGCAGGTGAAGGGATTGACTGAAGTTGTCTTTGAAAGCCAGGTTCATTCCTTTCTGTCTACAGATAACTTGAGCTTACTACATCATTATAATTTCCACACATTTTACATACATATACATGGATATATGTTAGAAGAAAAGGTATTATTATACATATAGCACTGGGCATCAGTTAATTAAGATAATCATGCCCTTAATTTAAATGCTGTGCTCTGTATGTGACTTGATTACCTTGTAGCTTTTCACTGAGAAAAAAAAAAACTGCAATAGAAACATTTTCTATGTTTATTTTTTTGCCTCTACTACCCAATACCAACTAAGGATACTTGCTATTAGAGGTAAAGTTCATTTAATCTCTTTTTCTCCCCATATTCCTTCTTCTTTTCCAGGAAAGACTTCCAGTCCCCCATCAGATATACACAGTACTAACTGGAGCAAAGAAAAGGAAAAGTTTATTCATACTTCAGCTAGAATTTATATAAACAGGCCAAGACTTAAAATGCTGATCTAATGTGTGTGGATTAGCACTGAAACACTGTGCCATAGCTTATGCCATTTTATACCAGGATACGATATAACAAAATAAGTTGTGAAGTTTGTTTTATTAGTCTTGAATATATAAAATGTTGAATCCACCTCATTCGTGCTATTTCATTAATATTTCAAAGCTTTCTACAGAAAGCCCTAACCAACCATGTCTAGCAGTTTCAAAAAGTAAGGCCAAGCCAGTCTCAGTAGGAGAGGCAGTGTTTTAATCTCTTTATATATGCCATCTAGAGCACAAATGGAGATGGCTAGGGCTCTGTTCATGTTTATCGAGCCCTTTCTGTGGTAAAAAGAGTATCATCTTTTTCTCAGAAAAGACAGCTCACTGGATCAAAAAACAACTTAACAAATAACCATCTTGAAGATGAAACTATCAATTCAACAATATAACATAGCAGTTTGATTTAAAGCAACCAAATAAGTTACCTCTGAGCAACTTCAGATCCACTAGTAGGACTTCATTTTTAGTGAGGTTTAAAGAGATTAACTAAAAGCATGAAGAAAAAAGGAAAATGTGGTAAAAATGCAACTTGAGGGTTTTTGCGGTTTGTTTGTTTATGGTTCTTGGGGTTTTGTTTTGGGTTTTGTTTTTTTTTGTT